GGGACTCAAACCAGCGACCCTTTTCATTTATAGGCTGGCACTCAATCCACTGAGCCACATCAGTCAGGGCTAGGTCAAATATTTTTAAAAATCACGTAACTGCACTTCTTTCTCATGCCCACATCTGATCCATCTACGGAGAGGATCTCCACGGTCCCGGCCAGCCTGCCTTGTCAGAGCACTGTGTGCCCTGCCCAGTAACTGTGCCTGGTTAATTACTAATTAACTTTCTTCTGAACCCCTAACGTGCCCTGTTTTGTCCACATTCTCTTACACCGGCTAGTTGAGGAAATGATAGGCTGAATATGGCAAATTTATGGATTTCAATTCAGATGTAACACCTCTTGAGAACTGAGCTAATTAATAGCACATTTGTGTATTTATTATTATATTCGTTAGTTATTCTTTGGGATCTTAATTCTTTTTCTCATTCTCATGTGCTTACCCAAAATTCCTCAACCAAACACTGAGTTAGTGGTGCTAGGCAAAGAGAACTCATGTGATAATTTTTTACCCAACTGATTTGATCAGTATTTGGATTAATAGTATTTATAGTGTGATTAATAACATCGCCTATAAAGATAATCAGAAATAGGAGTTATACTCTTTTGATCCCTGTCTTTACTTTCTGTGGGAGTAGCTCAAGTGTTATACAATATTTGCATACATTCTTTCATCAGGATCCAACAGAAAGATTTGAGAAAAGTCGTAATAAAAACTGCTTCCCCTCTAACCTGACTGCTTTATTTTGTTCCCTGTAATTCTGCGATTGTGTGTTCACTTAAGTTCACTTCAGTTGCTAATGGGAGGACATTCTTGTGATGCAATGGAGTCAGAGACACAAGAAATTTTGAGAAGTTGCCCTATCTGTTCAACTAGTACAAACTTATAAAGACACCTTTTCAGGTGGTTTTCTAAACATGCCCTGTGGAATTGCTTTTTCATTGGCTTCCACCTGGTGCACTGGAACATACTGTGAGTGGCTGTAGCCTCCTTAGAAATGAAAGGCATGGTGTGTGTTAGTGTCTTCCGGAAGACCGCCGGTTCTCTGGAAGATATTCTCCGTGTTTCCAGGCTGAAAATTGTTTCTCTCTGCCTTTGCCTTTTAACGCCTGTGGCTTCTCCATGGGACAGTAGCAGTCCCATGTCTCATGACAAACCTGAACCATCACACCGATTTGTCATGTGATCGGAGACTGACCACGCGTGTAGCTGTTGCCCAGCTCAAGAAATAAAACATTGACAGCCCCTTAGAAAAGTCCTCTCACTCCCATCCCTTGCTGCCAGAGGCGACTAATGTCTTGACTTGTATGGTAATCACAACCCACCCTTCCTTATGATTTTACTGTGTTAGTACCGGTCCTAAAACACTGCAATTTTACCTGCCTTGGAACTTGGATAGAAATACCCGGCAGTATGTGATTCTTGTGTCTGTGTCTTTTGACTACATTAAATTTGTGCAAAATTGCAGTTTCTTTTTATTTTTGTGTATTTTTCCCTTTGTGTGAAGAGTTCATATTTTATCTGGCTATTCTGTTTATGAACATATCTGCTTTTTCTTTTGAGTGATTGCAAAAAATACCATTATGGATATTTGTATGTTTCTGTTGATGAACATGTGTACACATTTCTGTTGGGTGTATATCTGGGGAGAGAATTGCTGGGTAATAGGGGTATATTAGGGTTTATGAGATGGGGCTAATTGCTTTTTCAAAGTGGTTTTACAAATTTGAAATCCCCTCTGCAGTATATGAGAGTTCCCATTGCTCTGCATTCTGTGGCAACTTGGGTATTGTCACTCTTTAATTGTTTTTTTAAAATTATTATTTTAACCATTCTGGTTGATGTGTATGGTGATGTCACTGTGTTTTTAATTCTCTTTCTCTGATTATTAATGTTGCTGGTAACTTTCTCATATGTTTATTTATGTATCCTCCTTTGACGTTTCTTGCTCATTTTTGCACGAGTCGATTGTATTTTTCTTAGTGATTGTAGCAACTCTTTATTATGGATTTCTTTGTCAGTTAAGCTTTTACTTTGTTCATGGTGCCTTTTGAGAATGATGTCTAATGCAGTGCAAATGATCAGTCTTTTTCTCTATGGCTCGTGTATTGGGTGTTGTGCTAAAGAAGTCTTTGCTCTTCCATACGCAACAAGATAGTGTCCAATATTGTCATCCCGAAGCTTTGTTGTTTTGCCTTTTTATATAGATCTATAATAGTACTAGAGAGCAGTTTTATGTATGTGAAATAAAGGTCATATTTCATTATCTGTCCCTACAGGTGAGAGTCTGGTGTGTGGGTCTTTATTACACTGTGCATTTGTGTATCATTACCCAACAATTAGAGCGCTTCATTAGTATGTGTTGTAGTAAGTCGTAATATCTGGGATAGTAAGTGTTTTTACTTTGGATTTTTAAAAGATTATCCTGGCCATTTTAGGCACTTTCAGTATAAGTTTTGGAATCAGTTTGCCCTATCCAACTATAATGCACACTTGGGACGTTGATTAGATTTGTCAAAGGAAACAAAACTGAAGTGGAGTATAAAATAGAGCCAGGAATGTGGCTAAATCACAAATATATATCCCAGAACCCTAAAACCTGGGGCAGCTGGGCCATATACTTATTTCAGATTTTCTAACTGCCAAAACCAAAAGCAAACACAAGGGTCCGTAAGACTTTTAACAGCACAAATAAACTCAGGATACCATCCACCTGTTAAATTCTTCAGATGAAGCTTTTAAGTCCTAAAGTCAGAAATAAATTAAGCTTCAGACCCTTCCTACCAAAAATACTGTGTCACCGGCGGCCGGCTGTCAGCAGTCTCCTTCCCGAGGCCCTTGCTAGTAGCCTTTCTTCCAGGCCCCTCCCAGCCGAGCAGCGACCCGCTGAAGCAGTTGCAGGCCAGGATGAGCAGCGGCTGGGGGAGAGCCCTCTGCTGGTGGCCGTGGCTTTGCTCTAGCGGTAGATTTCAGGGTTTACGTGAAGAAATGGATGAACTGCAAGCGTTTAGGAGATTTTTCAAAAACAATTTTCCCCCTCAGGCAAACTGTTGGCATTTGACGAGATATTGAACTTCCTGGAATGTCTGGGATGCAGTTGCTATATTTTACTGCTCGAATAGAGGTTCACTGGCCTCTGAGCTGGGGCAGTTCTGAGAGCTTACTAGGAAGTAGGAAACCTGAACCAAGATTTATTCCCGTGAGTGTGAACATCCCCTCTCCATTCACTGATGAGCTGTAGGAATAGCAAAAGGAAGGGCAACAGTTCTCTCGGAGCGTAATTGTGATTTTGTTTTATTACATAGTCCAATGGGCTGTGGAATATTCTCGCATATAGCACTGTCAGAAATATGTTAGCCTGAAATACCTTATGGTGATAACTGGACCCTTCTCTTGGCTATAAAAATCTCAATGAAGAGCTCTTAGAATGCCTAACTGTGAACGTTAGTATTTTCTAATGGGCCCTCTAAAATAAAGTATTTGCATATTGTGGCTCTGAGTTATTGGGGGGAATTATTATTTATAACTCAGTTATAAAGATGAGAAAGTATTTGTTGAAAGCAATGTGTTTTTTTTTTTTCCTTTTTCTTTTGTGGTCTATTCATGCCACTTTTAAGTTGGGATTTTAAATCTTCCTATTTGACTTTGTAGAAAGCCTGTGTTTGTTTTCTTTAATAGGAATAAATTATCTACTTGAAACAGACCTTCAGAATTTAAGGGAGTGGAGTATTGCCGTGGGAAACACATCCCTGTTTGAACTGAGATATAAAGCTCTGATTTGATTTGTTGAGAGACAACTTTTATTGACCTTGACTCTTGTAGTTCTTCACTACTCGCTGGGTGTCTGTTATCAAATCCTAAAGAGAACCGGGGGATACAGGGTATGGCAACTGACGGCAAGGAGCTTATGCACACCACTCAGGAAGATAACAGATGCCTCCCTGAAATGCTAATATATGTTTATTATTCAAATGCTTAACATGTTAACCAACAATGCAACAGAGAAAAAGGCATCTGCGGACAGTCGAGGAAGTGCTGCAGGGCATTTCAAAACGCGGTAACAGCCAGCAGGCAGGCCAGGAACCCTGTTGCTCTCACAGCGTTCCAAAAGGAGAGCGTGCATCCTATAATTAACCGTGCTATTTACTCTGAAATCTGAACGAGCAGTTTCTAAGGTGTTTATAGGGCCTCAAAGCGACCTCCTCCGTGAGATTTACACTTGGCCCCTTGGCAGTAGGTGTAGCTGCGAGCCTTCTCATTCTGTCCAGATTCCGCTGGTCTGCAGCTGCGGGGAACTTTCTTTGCCAGGAGATCCCTGTCCAGTTCTTTCAGTCTTGGCAGCTTCGTATTCTTTTTCATGGTTTCCCTCCCAAACAGTTCCCAGTCTGGACCCAACATAAGCTGGTCTCCTGGGCCTTTTGTGTTGAGGGCAAGGAAGCTGTTAGGTCCTGTGATGCCCAAGGACAGCTTGTCCTTTGACTTGGCCTCAAGTGTTTAGACAGATTTTAAAGGGACATCATAGTCAAATGTGTTAAAGACGCTGGACCAAGAAGTTCTCCTGTTAAATGTCTGGATATTCTGGTTTTGTAATTCCCTGTGGGCCCACGTGGCATCTCGACATCCAAAGAAACTTACATTTTACTATAAAAAAGAAATTGAGACAAGCGCAGTTAAGAACATGAATGACTGTGTGAGAGAATGTATGTTATGACTCTGTATTGAATAGGATAAAATGCTGTTTTAATGTTTTTTTATATATGTGTATATAGACGTGGGCAAGAGTAGGTGTACATTTGTAATACTAATAAATAACACAATAATTAGTAACACAAGAATAAACTCCATTTCATGTACTCACAGCTGTAAACCACCTTTGTATACAGACGTCCCACGTGCATACGTATGTTAGAAATGATGTTACAATATGTATAAATCAAGGTGACGTCATTTTTGTGATTGAATTAATAGCTCTCAACTTTTTTTATTTTTAAATATAGCAAGATCAACTTTATACCTGGGCTGCGGTTAGTCAACCCCCACACTCACTGGATTACACAGAGGGGCAGTTTCCCAGGCGAGTCCCATCGGTTTGGCCCCCATCGGACCTTCCTGATGAAGAGCGCAGACCCAAGGACGAGGCAGCAGGTAGGCTCCCCCACGCCCACCCCAGGGACAGGGACGTCGGGACAGCGCGTGAGGGAGTGCTCACCGGGCAGTGAGCTTGCATTTCTCTGCAAGGTGCTTCTTAGATTATAATCTGCAGATAACAGGGAAACCCCCCGGGGAGGCTTGTTAACAGAGAATCCTTCCTCAGTGTTGGCCTGGTGGATCGTAGCTCCTGACGTCTGCAGCACGTGACAGACAGGATGTAGGCGATGCTCTTTCCCGTAGGGATCGGAGTGTCATCGCACACAGTACAGCCGATGGAGGCTAAGATATGCTTCCTTAATGCAGAGATCTTCAGAGATGAGGGGATTCTAACTTAACCCCTGGAAACAAAGGTAGCACATAAGGGCACATTCAGATTTAAAAAGAAAAGCACAGAACTAAACGTATGGATCCCTTTAAATACACTATTCTTTTTGTTTATGTTAAAAATTAATTCCTGGTAGGAAGTAGCCAGGTGTGGACGTACAGACGTGCATACATAATGAGGTTTCAGGCAATGATGGAGCACATGTAGAGCAGCAGAGTTGAAAAACTCGTATCCCAGGAGGATGCTGTCGGCGTGATGACGTTGTAGTGCAGCCAGCGCGTCAGCCACGTGTGTGGGGTGATGCTGGTGGAAGCAAACCTGCTGCGCTGCCGGTCGTATCAAAGTACAGCGCATACAGTTATGTCCAGTACATAGTACTTGATAATAATAAATAGCTATGCTGCTGGTTTATGTATTTACTACTACACGATTTGTCATTACTTCATTTAATTATTTAATTTGTTTTCTATTAATCTTATTGGGGTAGCACACATATTTCAGGTGTACAGTTTTATAACAAATCTGTAGAGTCCATTGTGTGCTCGCCGCCTGAAGTCTAGTCGCCTTTTGTTACCATGCATCTGACCCCTTTATGCACTTTGTCCTCTTCCCACCCCGTTCGCCTCTGGTAACCACCATTCTATTGTCTGTATCTATGCGTTTGGCTTTTGAAAAAAATTTTTTATTTTGTTAGTTTTTGTTTTATATCCCACACATGGATGGAATCATACAGTTTTTGTTCTTTTTGGCCTGACTTATTTCACTTAGCGTAATAGTCTCAAGATCTATCCAGGCTGTCGCAAGTGAGAACATACCACCATTTTACTGGCTGAGTGGCATTCCATGGTATATATGCACTACATCTTTATCCAGTCATCCACTGAAGTATGTTTGGGTTGTTTCCGTCATTTTGGCTATTATAAATAATGCTTCATTGAACATAGGGGGACATATAACTTTATATGAATTAGTATCCTCAAATTTTGGGGTAGGTACCTAAAAGAGGGATTGCTAGCTCTTACGGTAGGCCTGGAAAGTTCTCATCAATTATTATTTTAAGTAGGTTCTCAGTTCTCCCTGTTTTCTCCTTTTGGTATGCCTACTATTCTTAGGTGGCTCTTTCTAAGGTAGTGAGGTGGTTCTCATAGTGTTTTTTTTTTACATTTTTGGCTCTGTTAGTCCTCTCCCTTCTTCTTCTTGAGTCATTTCTAAGTTTCTGACTTCAAGTTCTCTAGTTATCTCTTGCATTTGGACTTCTTTATTCCTAGGGCTCCCTAATGCATCCCTCATGGAATTTATTGAGTTCTTCAGCTCCAGAATTTGTTTCTTTTTTATCCTTTCAGTATCTTTGTTTAAGTACTCTCTATGTTCATTAATTTTCATCCCCAAGCTCTTTGAATTGCCTTTCTGAGTTTCCTTATATTCTATACATCCTTGTGTTTCTTTATAACTGCAGTTTTGAATTCTCTGTCGTCTAAGTTCATCATCCGTGACTTTGGTTTCTAGAGACTTGATTTTATTTCTGTGTTCCAAAGTTACCTCGGTTGTTCATGGTATTTGACGGATTGTTTACTTGTCTGTGCATCTGAGATACCGACTTCTTGTGCATCTACTGTTTTGCTCTTAATGATTCAGCAGGTTGATAGGTAGGGTACTTTCTTTTGCTTTTCATTAGATAGTGTCATAGCGCATTTGTAAATTTTCTCTTACCTGTGCTCATTGTGCCTCTGGGTTTGTGGTGGAGCTGCATCACTTTGGTCAGGGAAAGTGCCACATACCCCTTGGGATGACTGGCGTCCCCTTTGACCAGCTGACCTTGATTATGGAGCACCAGCACTGTGGTGGTGGAATTTGGTGCAGGGTGGAGAACTGCTTTTGCAGCTCCCAGAGCTACCTCCTTTCCCTGCCATGGCTTTGACTTGACTCGGCAGTTCGAGCTGTGTTTTGGGCAGAGGAGGCAAGACTGCCTTCTGTGGCTCCACCCCTTCCTGTAATGGCCGCTGATGGCACTGGTGGCTGTTTACAGCTTCCCAGCCAGCTCTGCCGGGTTCTGCCAGGATCGAGAGGTGGGAGGGGAGATCCGGTTTCCAGCAGTGAAACTGCTTCAGCCCCCCTTATGCTCCAGACTATAGGGGGAGGGCTGCAGCTCAGCTTCTGTCCCACTACCAGCGTCACTAGTGCCCAGGTAGGCTCAGAAACCCACCGGTGGCCACCATCCCTGTTCTTACCCTACTTCTCTGCTTGTTCCAATAGGCCCTCCTTCAGATGTCCTGATGTGCGGATCTTCCTGACATGCTTGTATGTTGAATGAGGGATCCTTTGTTAAGTTATAGTTGTCTGACTTGTAAATTTATGGGGAGAAACAATGGAGCCTTCTCAGTTGGACATGATGCTGATGCCACTTGTCATTATTTATGCACTTTTTTTCTACTTATAAAAGAAAATCTTTGCTGTGAAGCGGTATGCTGTGTTACACTGGCAGCAGCCTCATACATCTCGTGTTTCCCGTGTCTCTTGATTGCGTCATTTTCTCTTGTACCTGATTTAATCTTGTGTTGTTTGGTACGATGACATGGTGTACAGGCTCGTAACCTACAAGTAGCAGCAGGCTGTACCATAGCGCCTGGGGGTGTAGTAGGCTATGCCATCTAGCTTTGTGTAAGTGCATGCTGAGGTAGCACATCAATGAAATCACCTAACCACACATTTCTCAGAATGTGTCCTTGTTGTTAAGTGACACGTGACTGTAGTAGAATCAATCAATTTTATTGAGCGTTCTTTTAATAGTGCTTCCTATCTTATGTTTTACATCATTAGTTAGGGTGATACTTTCATTCTTCTCTTCCCTAGGGTGTCTATTTTTCTCAACTTTTCTAACTGAAACATTTATATTATTGTTTAAAATTTTAGAGCATTTTAGAGTCCTGTGCACTTTAAAAACACCTATGAAGTTGTTTTTGAAAGTTCATTAGGGATAATTTGAATTTTAGTTTGGTAAATGATGGTAGCTAGAATTAATACCAAGAAGCTTGTAATCTAATTTTTATCATTATTTGATGTAGTTTGCCAGAGCAAATAATTTTAATATAATAACTTGTCTCCTTTCAAAATATGCATTCTTGAAGAGGATAATGGAGGTAAGTCAAAATAACTTAATGTAGTGACTTGTCTTACTCCGACTGATGTGTTACCAGCTGCAGTGGCCATAGAGCGTCCTTTGGTCCAAGCCACCTACTGGCACTTTCTGAGACTTCCCTGCTGTGGCCACAGGGAGTGTCCTCATTCTGGGGGCGACACCACTGTGCAGCCGGTCATAAGAGTGAGAACGTTTGTAAGAGAGTGAAAAACTGATGTAGAGTCTGCTGCTCTTTTAAGAAATATGTCCATTGCGAACGTTGATAACATATCAGACTACTACTTGGCACACTCTCATGTAGTGACATCATGATTAAAACTACTATTTGCGACAGGTAAATTTCAATGTTAAAGTATGGATTTTTTTCAAAGAGGAAAAACTTGTGGCTCTACTTTAGAAAATTGAGAGCTTTCCTTTTTGCTTTTTTTTTGGTCTTCTGGCTCGTCCTAATATTGTGCGCTATTTCACATGTCCAGCTAATTCAGGTTTGTGGTGCTGCTTGTCCTGCTTTTCTTGTTGATCTCGCTCTAGTTCTTCCATGATTCCTTCTGTGGAAGAGGCTTTTCTTCTCCTTCATATGTTGACTGAGATTCAACCCTCCTCTGTGCGAATCTGAAGTGCAGAGGCCCAGGAGAAGCCTGTGGTCCTCCCACCAGGGAGCGGCAGACGGGCTGCAGGCCCCTGTGCGTCTTTCCTTCCCATCCTGGCTCCCTGCACAACTGGCGTGGTCTCCACAGAGGAGCCTGAGGTGCTGACACTCACCTTTTGTAGGACATAGAACACCGCCTGGAAGGCTAAGGCCGACTGGAAAGGACATTAAGGCGCAACACGCTACAAAAATTGGTTGCAGAAGCATTCACAAGAAGATACCTTTTTCATTTATCTTATTTCCTCTTAATCTTTTTTCTCTCTATTTATCTTTATTTGTACAATGCAACCCTACCCCCATGATCGTCCTTTTTCCTGGAGTCTCCTGGCATTTTGTTAATATATCTATTATTTGAATTATTATGTATTGTGATTTCTCTGTTTATACATATCTGCCATCTTCATAGACTCCCAACATTTCAACACCTTTGGACACATAGTATATACTTAAACATTTGAGTGAATAAATGAAGATTTTTTGAAAAAAAAAGACCTGAGTTATAAAATATCTACCCCACACATGAATACCAACATTTTAGGGAGAGTGCATACTGAAACATCCTATTGAACATTTTAGAGGCTCAGTACCAAGTTTCAAAGATTACTCAAAAAATTTACACAAAATCAAAGAGAAGATTAACTTTAGTTTTCAAATTTATGGAGAACAAGAGCAAGATGTCTAGATATGAATAAGGACTTGATTATTCTTGTTGCATCTTTGGGAAATACCTTTTATCTTTCTTTGACAATATAAATGGCCAATAGGGGGAACATAGGAATGATTTTTAGAAAGACAATTTAGGCACAGAAAAGTCTGGAGAAAAATATATGGAAGGAGAGATGGTCGAAGCATGGCAGAATCTTTTTGTGTAAAAATTCTAAAAAGTATATTTATATGCTGGCTGAAAGAACTGTAACCCAACTTTGCTCCCAAAAAAGATTTGAGCTGCTCATAAATATCTAAGGTATGGAAAGGATTGTAAATGAAAATAGATCAAAAGGAAAGGAATTGAGGCTGGAACAACAAAAAGAAGCTGAGGTAAGCTAGCACATTGAGATGCATTTCAGAAGGACCTGCAGTTTTCAAAGGTAGTTGGAAATATACCCCTCAGATTTAACGAATAGAATGAAGTGGGAACAATTAATTCTATATCATTTCCTGTATCTGTGAGATTAAAAGCAACAGTCTCTCAGAGAAGCACTTTTCTGGCTTCTAATATTCAAAAGGAGTGTTTCTAATGGGTCCTAAGAGAGCTTCCGTGCAGTGTAGTGCAAATACAGTATCATCAGCTCATTTCCAGGTTTAGTCCAACTACTGTAACACATTCAACTGAGGTCATGCAGATTTTACACGAGGGGTCGCAGGAGAGTTTGATAGCCTCTCTTTATGAGCGTCTCCCTTGACCAAGAGGTAACCGTGCTAGAAAGGCTTGACTGTGTCTCCTATAGGTCACTCTCGATTTTCTTTTTCTTTTTTTTTTTTGTAAAATCTGCTTGCATTTCCCGCTTACATATGCAAGCTAAAGCATGTGTGTAGATTTTTTTGGTTGACAATGAGGGGCAGATCTAGACTATTAAATAATCGATAAGCAGACCATAAGGTTGGACCCTTTTAGGAAAATTGCACGTTTAACCCTATCTTCATTTGTGGAAGGACATGGTATGCTAGAAATAAAAACATCTACCATTTATTAGGCAGCTAATCATAAGTCATGCTGTTTAAATGAATTTCAATGAATTATCTTTGAATTAAATTGACTAGATTTAAAACCAAATTGATGTATACCATTAAAGAAGCTTTAATTTAATAAGGTTATAGATAAGTGCATTTTAACTGAAAATGTGAGTGTTAGAAACTGCCTAATTCATTTTTAGAAGGACTACTTTGTGTATGTTAAAGGGTCTATTTGATTTATTTTTCAGTCAGAGCAGAGGGGCATATCTAATTTTTTTGTTCTCCTCTCTCTGCAAATATATATAATTCACCCGTGAGTTTTGTTTTATAAGCCATAAGTGGCTTATTCTGTGATGATAGATCATTTCTAAAATGTATTTGGAATTGCAAGAAGACCAGATTTTAGATTATGCTTAGATTTTGTGAGCTAACTTTAACAAAATGGAGCACTTAACATTTTTGTCAGGAATGTTCTTTCCCTACTCTGCTTCAAAGTAATGTTTTCTAAAAAACAGTGGAGTTTCTCATTCTTAAGAAGAGTGAGTAGAGCTGGCACTTTTAAATGTACCCTTGAGAGAGTTCTCACTGGTTCCATTTAAAAGCAACCACCCCAGTCGATGAATATTTAATGAGGATAGTCTGTCAGTTCCAGAACTGAGTAGAAGGCAGTCCCCCAAAGCGCCCTGGGTCTGGGGACAGCAGTGTTGGTCACAAGTGCCACAGAGTTGGTGTGAGGGGCGATCTAAGGATATTCGACCCAAGTGGATTTCTCAACACACCTGCCAAGTGACCTCAGACTTGAGCCAGCTCGGAAGCCAGCAAGTCCTCAGAAAACTAAAACTAGATACTGTATGATCCAGCAATTCCACTTCTGGGTACTTATCCAAGGAAAACGAGACCACTAATTTGAAAAGATATACACACCCCTATGTTCATTGCAGCCTTATTTACTGTAGCCAACATATGGAGACACACTATGTGTTTATCACAGACGAATGGATAAGGGTGTGCTACATATGCATAACGGAATATTATGCAGCAGTGAGAAAGAATGAAATCTTGCCATTTGCAACAACATGGATAGATCTAGAGGGTACTATGCTAAATGAAATAAGTCAGGCAGAGAAAGACAAGTGCCGTAAGGTTTCACTCACGTGTGGAAAGCAAAACAAAACAACACAAACAAATAAAGCAGGAACAGACCCATAGATACAGAGACCAAAGGGGCAGTTAGCAGAAGGGAGAGAATGGGGGCATGGTGGAAAGGGGAATTCAGTCAATAATATTGTGATAAACTTTCGTAGTGACAGGTGATTACTAGAATTAGCGGGGTGGTCACATGTGAAATACATAAATGTTTGATGACTATATGGTACACCTGAAACTAATATAACTAGTATAAGATCCATACCAACTGCTCTTAAAGAAAAAATAAAAAATTGTAAATACTGAAATACGGACAGAGAAAGAGAAGACAGAACAGAAGCCAGCTGACTTGCCACATGCTGTCTTTCTGCCCCCGCCGCCGCCGCTGGCCTCCCCCACGCTTCTCCTTACCTTTGCTCTTTCCGATGCCTGCCTTCTCTTGCTCCTTCTCACTTTTATTCTCTATTATTTTCCTTCTCCTTAACATTCATTTTTCTTTCTGCTCCTAGTTCTCTTTCATTGTCCCTTGATTTTTAGGACAGTTATTCTGCGCATCCCACCCATCTTTAATTCTAGACCCTCCACAACTTCTCTAATTCATCTTAAGAGTTTGAAGAGATTATTTTGGTAAATTTTTCTTAGATGATGTAACACGCTGATTCAAAGAAATAAAAAGTTTAGTGAAAGGGATAGGGATGGGAGAATTAATTCAGATCGCCATTGAATGTAACAGAGGGAGACCGAGAGTTTACGTGTAGTGTTCAGAATGTTGACTGATACGTCTTGGTAGTTCACTGTTGTGGAAAACACACTCTTATTTACCATCAGAGCCCAGAAGATGGCTTTTGGGGCAGGTAACCCTGTCTAGGACTATAGAAAAAAGCCAGGAAATGCGTGCATTTGTAATGTGAAAAGCTGTTCATGTTCTACCAGTTCTGTCTAAATAGCAAAATGAGTTAGAGAATTTTCTTCATCAATTCAAAGCTCCAGGATCTTATCTTGGGTCTATTGTACTTGTGGTTGGTGGTGACTAAGAGAAGAAAACAAAAGTGTTCAGAAGTTTGCTTTAATATTAACTTTTGCCTAGCTATGTTAAAGATATTTATTCAAAATTGGCTAACTCGGGTGTTATGGTCAGAGTATAGATTTGTGAGTATAAGAGAGAATTCCATTTTGATTAACTCAGTGGGACGTAGTATTTGCCTGGGAAAGTAGTATTTTAAGGCCACTTGTTAATACACTATCATCACAGTGACATCTGTTGGTGACTAATTCATGCTATTCTCAATGATTTTTTTAAGATTTACCACAAGCCGAGGTGTAGGAGGTAGCTAGTGGCAAAGTGGCATCTATGTTGCCTGTTACCAAATTCTTTCCCTCTCCTTCTGGCTCAAGTTGCCCCCTCTTCATGGTGGCACCTGCTTTCATGGTTGGATCATTCTTTTGATCACTTCTTTTATTCCCTCCTGCAATTACTCATGCTGTAAACACTGACTGTGTGCCAGGTGCTGTTCTAGACGCTGGGAATACAATGAGGAAGAAAGTGTCCCTACTTTAAAAAGAAAATCCTGGACTTCTCTATCCCTTTGGTCTTTCAGCATGAAGTATTGGCTGTCTCATAAACTCCAAAATGATGGGCTAAAGGATCAAAATCCCTTATTACTCGGTGCCTCTTGATGACAGTGCTCATTATTCCTCACTGAAATCAGAAGGTCATTTGTCAATAATCAGATAAGCCATTTGAGATCCCATCCTTCACGACTGGTGAGCTGGGTTCTGTCATGGTGCACACTTAAGCTAAGTGAATAATATAAAAAATGAATGTCTTAGCAGACATTTTCTGACACAAAATACAAACTAGCAGTTGAGAAAAGTAATTATGATTGCTGTGACAAGAAAGTCATAGGCCTATTCTAATTTTAAAAGTAACTAATGACATGAGTGTTGGTCATTATATACAAGGTCTGTCCAGAAGGTATCCAGTCATGCACTATGAAAAATAGACATTTATTGAAGACGATACAAGATACACAAGCAGTGTACATAGGACAGTGATGCCTCGGTCCCCTTCAGAGTGGGACCTCACACAGTTCTCCCAAGTCACCATCAGCTGCCCTGTCGTGTTTTCCTGAATTTTGTTGATGGTCTGAAATCTCTTCCCTTTCTAAGGTGATTTTAGTTTTGGCAAAAGTCAGAAGTCACAGGGTGCCAAATCTGGGCTGTTGGGGGGCTGAGTCACCTGGGTGATTTGATGTGTTGCCAAAAAACTCTGTATAAGATGCATGGACGAGTGCATTGTTGTAATGAAGCTGCCAATCACCAGGTGCCCGTAGCCGCGGCCTTCTGAGTCATTCAAATAGTTTCTGCAGAGGAATTTTCAAACTTACTGCAAAATTTCAAGATGCAGATTTGTTGCTCTACTCGCTCAGTCAGTTTGAATGTGATGGCCACACACTACACATGCTCACTCAATGGTATCTACCACCCCCACTGACTAGTACAGTGAAGTTGTCATTGTTCACACATGCGCATTCCAGTCCACTCTCCTCAGCTGCCAGGTTACATAAATGTCATGCAAACTATTCTCATTATACTAACAATGGCTGGACTTTTCCTGGACAGACCTCATATATGTTTTATATACTGAAAAACAGTCCTATACTCATTATATATATAAAAGTTTAATTAGAAGATAAACAAGGTGTTTATGTACTTATGGTTAAAGATTTTAGTTTGTTTTGCTTTCTGATTGAAGGAAGGGGAAAATTTCTTCTTTAATATGTTGACTGTCTTCTTCCTTTCCAACCTAGAATCTCAATCTGCTGTTTCGGAAACTCTGAAAAGTTGTTCAGACACTGTTGAGCAGGTAAGAAGATCTTATTAGGGTGTCCAGTCCCTTTCTCTCTTACTTGTTTTAAAATTGTGACAGACCCTGGTTTATTTTCCTACCTGCCCAGCCAGCTAGGCCACCCTTGCTTGGTTCACCAAGTCTGCCCAGGGATTCAGCCTGGGGAAAAGGGATGTTTTCTTCCAGGTAGACTTTGCAAAGAAAATCAGCCTTGCAGTGGAACTGAGAATAAGCCTTTCAGAAGCTGCATCAATCTATATCCAGCCAGAGAGCGGGGGTCTACAATAGGTGGCCCTGGCAGGTCACCGTGGCCCCTCCAGGAAATGTCATGTGGGGAGGGGCTTGGCCAAACTCAGTCACATGGATGTGATTGAAAAAAATATCTGTCAGAGGTTTCCTAAAATCAGTTAATATTCTTATGTTGTTTTGGTGTATGAAACATTAGCTAGTGTCTGTTTAATTTTCATGGAAACTTTTTTCTGTTACTAAAAAGCCAAATTTTATGTCTTTTGTTGTGTACTGAGAAGATCTTATTATTAAAAAAATAAAACTTCAAGAAAGGAAATGCTTGTATGGAATGATAACTGTGAATTGTGAATAGCAATTGCTCTTTTGGACATAAAACCATTTAAAAACTTATTTATATACTCTTCCAACTACGCTTTTGAAAATAAGGTAGGATGAGAAATTATGAAGTAATTACTAAGTAAGTACAGTGTTCTCTGGAGTGTGGTCTAGTGGGAAACGAGAAGACTCATAGCTGGGTTCCAGGATTAGTTCTGTATCTCATTAGTGTGCACAACATACACAGGCTATTCGGGCATAGTGTTCTTCTCTGTAAAATTAAAGAATTTGATGATTTTTGAGAATTTTTCCAAGTATAAAATGATTTCCCTTTTTTAAAAAAAGCAGTTGTGAACCACACATGAAAGTTGTGCTCCCCCTGGTGGACAAACAGAATATAACATCAGTCTGGAACTTCATTTTATAATTCACTCGTGCTTTTCAAAAACCAAGTTGGCTATTAATGTAAGAATAAAGATATTCGTAAGGATAGTGTAATAAAACAGGTTTTCCCAGTTTCTTTTTCTTTCTCATTTTTGTCAGAGCTGGGACCTCCCTCACGCTGGGGTGTGGTGGACTCAGCTGATGGTTACTCGATTGACCTTGTAGTGATTAGCCAATGTAAGATGAAGAAAGATAAAAAGAGGTAAAGAGAAAAAGTCAGAAATAATAAAGAAAAATAATGCCCTCAAAATATTCTCTATTTTATTTTTCAGCTTAGAAAATTGAGGCGGGGGGGAGCACACAACTAAGTTGGGTTTCAGATACCACATTAGGTGTTTCTAAATTGATGTTTCCAAGGCATATATTACTGAATTCTTTGGTATACAAGGTCTGTCCAGGAAGTATCCAGCCATATACTATGAAAAATAGAGACATTTACTGAAGAAGATACAGGGTACAAGAAACACTGTACATAGGACAATGACCCCTCAGTTCCCTTCAAAGTAGGCTCCTTGGGACCTCACACAGTTCTCCCAGTCGCCATCAGCTACCCCATCATATTTTCCTAACTCTCATTGACAGCCTGAAATCTCTTCCCTTTCAAAGGTGATTTGAGTTTTGGGAAAAGCCAGAAGTCACAGGGCACCAAATCTGGGCTGTAGGGGGCCAAGTCACCTGGGTGATTTGATGTTTCATCAAAAAAACTCTGTACGAATCTTGATGCATGAGCAAGCACATTGTTGTGATGAGGCTGCCAATCAACAGCTGACCAGAGCTTCAGCCTTCTGATTCATTCGAATAGTTTCTGCAGAGGAATGTTCAAGCTCAACACAAAATTTGATGCAGATTCATTGCTCTACTCGCTCAGTCATTTTGAAAGCAATGGCCACACAGTACCCATGCTCACTCAGTGGCACCCACCGCCCCCACTGACCAGTGCAGCGAAGTCGTTGTTGTTCATGCGTGCATATTCCAGTCCACTCTCCTTGGCTGCCAGGTTACATTAATGTCGCGCAAACTGCTCTCGTTATGTTGACAATGGTTGGACTTTTTCCAGACAGACCGTGTATATGATAGTGCCAAAGAAAACCTGGACAAGTAATCTGTACTATCAATAAGGATTAAAAAACATAACATTGCTCTATAAATTAAAATTACAACTGTAAAACAATAACTATATATATATATATATATCTCCATGTGTATAAAATTGTAGTGACTTTCTATTTTTCTTGAGCTATAAACCACGGTAAAATATATTGTAATAAGCAGAAAACTTGATGAGGGAGTGATTTGAAAACATATGATGTTACAGCTTAGAAACTCAAGGGTCAAATCTATTGATCTAAGTGTCATACCTTCATCTGTTCTTCTTGCCACTGAAGTGTCTAGAAGCCAGGAAATACAGTTAACTAACTGAGGGGTAAAAAGTTTGTAAGCAATTGAGAATAAGCACTCAACAATGTCATTATTTACTTTTGGAATTATTGACCCTTTGTCATAAGTTTATTTTATGGACCGGTTCTTTCTTAGGTGATATGTGTATGCTTTGTGAGAGTCTAAAGTAACCGGCCATAAAAGTGATACAGGAAACTAGAATTGATTACCAATCTTCTGTATATCTATTTTTATTATATTTTACAATTCTTGTTACAATTCTTTAAGGTAACTATTATAATATATATTTACCTGATAAAGGAAATCATGTTTCTAGAAGTTAACTTGCTTAAGGTCACAAAATAGATAAAGGGTAAGAGGGAGGACTTGATCGTAGCTGTTTGGATTTATACCTGTTGTTTTCTCCACTGTGATAAAAAACTATACTTTCACATGGAGAATTGTCCTATGGCTCTTTAATCCTGTCTCATGCCAAAACCATCAGGTGGATGAGAAGTTTATTTTAAAATTATATTGCATTTAAACTATACCATTTATAAGAATCAGGTGTCCAGAAACATTTTAGAGGCAAAGAGACTCATTAAGTCCCTTAGACATTTTTAACTTTTACTATACTTCGGTATGCTTCACTACCGTTTTAAAAATAAAATTAGAATTTTATTTGCCACGCAATTCTCCTTGCTTTTTCTCCTCTAAGCCACTAGATGGCAGTTCTGTATCTCTGTAAATCACCCCTGCAGAGGGAATGAAGGGGTTTGAGCCGCTCTGCTCCGCGCGGACGGTGGATGCAGAGGTTTCCTGGTCCCTCCGAGGCTGCCCGCCTCGTTTTTCTAGGTAGTGATGCTGAATCCCCGGGGCTGCTCAGTCGGCGGGAAGGCGCCCTCTAAGTTTTTCTTCAGCTGTGAGCTCAGGCACCTGCTCTCTCCATCCGAGCACACTGGAATGCACTGAATGAGTTTTGACTCGTACTCTTTCCCTGTAGTTAATAATTCTGAGAGCTCTCTATCCCTAGAAAAAACACATGACTCAGAAAGCCTTTGCTCAGCTACGAGGAGGAGAAGCCTGTGGGGCTGCCAGGGAGTCTGATGCTTAAAGCAAACGCAGCTGGCGGACCCGAGAGCAGGAACCGGCGCTGCCCCTGGAGTGCTTGGTGGACGGCCCCGTGGAACTAGGAAGTTGTAAAACTGCATTCTTTAGACCTCACTTGCTGATCATTTTCATTTCAAGTAATGTGCTCTGAAAATCTGCTGTCCAAAGAATTATTTTATGAAACTGAAATAGGACTGTCTTTCCACTGAGTTTTTTATTCTTTGGTATTTGAAATACGATTTAAACTGGAAATACCTTTCCGTTCTACAATGTATTAATAGCCAAATATCGTTTATATTTTCTCTAATTACACTTGCTTCTCATTCAAGATTAACATATGGTAGAAAAAGTGGTTGCTACTCAGTTTTACAATTTTTTTGCATTTGAAATGATATGTAAAATGTGTGTTGTATTTTCCTAAAACTCTTGATATTTTATCTAATGCAAATGGACTAGTTGGTAGGTAAATAGAGTAGAATTTTATCTTGAAATACACTAGCTTTGGGTAAGAAGTAGTAATATATCAGGCAATTGAAAGTTGGATCTCTAGACGTTATGAAGTTTATTAATTGTGAATAGCCATGTTCATTACAAGGTGCTGGATAATAAAAAGAAATACAGCAGTATCAGCCCTCTTGCCCCATATGTTGTATAGTGCATATGCAAATAAATTATGAAAGGTCAGAAAAATGTTTAAGATTTGAGATAACTGGCAGAATCCTACCTTAGTCCGGTTTTAATTTTCTCTGAAGTTAGCTTAAAACTCTTCCCTTAGGATCCTGCTCTAATCAGTCTTCCTGAGTTCCCGCAGTGTCCAATTTGCTTGCAAACTTAGCTGAGAAATTGAGTATTCTTTTCCATTGGTCCTCCATAAAGTATCTGTTACAGTGCTCTTCAAACAATGATCACTCAATGTAATTTATTATTAGTTTCAGAAACATCTTCATTTAGCAACAGGTGAAGGGGACATGTGAATAGTTTGGAGTCATGCTGTCAATGGTGCATGTGAGGCAGGGCTGGGCGTGACATTTGTTTGGAGGATAAGACATTTTAAATTTCAAGGAAAAAGTAGGGTAATCAAATAGCAATGATATGTGTCAGTTATACCTCAATTAAAAAAAAAGAAAAAACTGAGCAATGAAAACTAAGCCATCACAAAATGGAAGTGTGTTGATGAGAGAGAAGAACTGGAAAATCATTCGTGCAGCAATGAGAGACTGAAGATAGAAAGCTTGACGAGCTCTGTGAGTATTTAGACAGAGGACAGTGGACCAGGAGGCTCATGGCAGTTACTACAGGTTTGGTAACCTATACCCGCCCCCCCCAAAAAAAAAATCCAAGGAGGGAACAGAAAAAGACGGGGTCAGGAGAAAGCATAGAATTATCGAAGCCAGGGGAGGAGAGGGTTTTAAGAAGGAAGGGGAGACTGCGAGTCTCACTTCTGCCGCGAGGACCGTGGTGAGAGTGAATCTGGTGGTAAGGACCGTGGGCGGTGACCGCGAGAGTAGGGACGTTCCCGCCGA